TCTCTCTCTCTCTCTCTCTCTCTCTCGTACGCTTTTTCTCTACTCTTTTTCCAACTTAGCGTTTTAGAATTTGAGATTGTTCGAAAATTTGGGAGAGCAAGACAACACAAAAGAACACTCAAAACTTACAAAGAAGAAAGTGGAAAAAATGATGATTTCTATTCAACTTGACTTGCAATGGCTAGGAATAAATGGCAATTTATAGGAGAAATCTTTCATGTAACTAACCTATACTACGTGTAAATATAATAACTAAGTCCACACCTCACATCTTTCAAGGTACTTGGATGACACTACTAGACAGTGTATCTTCCAAAGTACATCAATGTGTTCATACTCTAACATATGTACTAAATTAATATTCTAGTTCATGAACTAACGTAAACAAATATAAACAAATGTAAACAAATGGAAACAAGTTTATTATTTTCACATTTCAACATCCCCCCTTAAACTTGTTTCATCACTCCAAGAGCCTTCCTTAGCTTTTGAAAAAGATTCGCAATTTGGTCTTATGACTTCACGTGCTCAAGCTCCATAACTTTATTTTCATGTCCTTCAACCTTGTAGCCCAAGGTTGATCAATGTAAACCTCTTCCTCCAAAATACCATTAAAGAAAGCCAGCTTCACATCCATTTGATGAATTTTTCATTGATTTTGAGCTGCCAAAGAAATAATAAAACAAATTGTTTCCAAACGACTAACCGGTGCTAATACCTCATCAAAGTCGATACCGATCTTTTGCTTGTATCCCTTGGCAACCAATCTTGCTTTGCACCTTTCCACCTCACCCTTCGAATTTTTCTTCAACTTGTACACCATTTGACACCGATGGTGTTTTTGTCTTTTGGAATGGCTAATTCCCAAGTATCATTCTTCTTGAATTTCTTGATTTATTCATCCATGGCATCTCTCCATTTGGCATTTTGGGCGACATCTTCATAAGTTAAAGACTCTCTATCTACCAACAAACAAAAGTGAGTCAAATCATATAATTTTTTTCTTACCACTTCCGCATTTTCATACAACTCATGAAGACTTTTAGTTTTCTGAGCACTTCACTTGAAGAACTTGAATTTTGACTCATCTTCTTCTTGAACTTGTGCTTGTACTAGAGGTTGTTAAGGTGGTGTGATAGGCTGCTCCACAACTTCTTCGTTATCATCTTCATCAAAGAAAGGACTAAAAGAGTAATCTTGCTCTTTAGTTTTCCATTCCAAAGCATTATCTTCATCAAACTCAACATCTCTGCTTGTGGTGACCTTGCCATTCTTTGGGTTATATAATTTATAACCTTTAGAACTTTGATCATAGCTAATGAAAACATACCTCTCACTTTTATCATCAAGCTTAGACCTCTTCTCATCCGGCACATATGCATAGGAAATTCTCCCAAAAACTCACAAATGAGCAACTTTTGGCTTGAAACCACTCCAAGCCTCTTGAGGTATTTTGTCACGGATACTCTTGGTGTGACACCGATTTGATAAATAGACTGTACAAATAGTAGTTTCAGCCCAAAACTCCTTTGGCATATTTTTGCTCTTCAACATACTCTGTTCCATATTGAGAGTAGTATGGTTCTTTTTTTCCACAATGCCATTTTGTTGTGGTGATCTTGGAACAGTCAAAAAGTGACTAATTCTATTATTTTCACAAAAAATCTTGAATTCATTTTAAGTGAATTCTCCACCATTATCGGACGCAATGACTTAACTTGATAGTTGCTTTGTTTCTCCATCATGCTCTTGAATTTTTTAAAAGTATCAAACACCTCCGATTTCACTTTCAAAAAATACACCCAAGTTTTCTAGAAAAATCATCAATGACAAGTAAAAAATAATTACTTTTACCAAGTGAAGATGGCTTGATTGGTCCGCACACATCTATGTGAATCAACTCCAATGGGCATCGAGCTCTAATCAAAGACTCTTTAGGAAAGCTTTTGCTTGCTTGCTTTCTAAAGAGACATCCTTTGCAAAGTTGACTCGGATGATCAATAGTTGGCAATCCATTCACCATACTTTCTTTCTTCATCAACCTTAGACTATCAAAATTCACATGACCAAATGTCACATGCCAAAGCCTAGATGAATCTTTGGCACATGAATGCAAACACCTTGGAACATCACTTTGAAGGTTTAAAACAAATAAATTATTATTATTATTCATAGGAACTTTGGCTAACAATCTCCCATATTCATCTCTCACGGACAACTTTTATCTTTCAAATGAATATCATAATCTTTCTCCAAAAGTTGTCCCAAACTTAAAATATTACTTTTCATCTCCGGTACATACAAATATTAGAAATTTAAATTAAAATCGTACTTTTCTCTTTAATTTTAACCCGCGAAGAGTCTCCAAAAGTGATATTTTCACCATTCAATTCTTCAAGCTCCACAAATAAATTCTTCTTTCCACAAATATGGTTACTTGCACCAGAGTCAAGGTATCATTGACTTTTCTCTATACTTTCTTCTTCTTTGCAAGAGAGAAGTAAAGTGTCATCTCCATCTTCATTTTTCTCTCCACAAAATTATTTTTTTCTTCCACATTATTTTTATATTCCCAGAAAAAATGACCAAATTTATGACAAGTACAACATTCAATAATAGACTTATCATATCTTCCATAACCTTTTCCTTGATTAGAGTCTTGGCTCCTATTTTCTTTATTTGGTGGTTGGCTACCACCTCTTTCTTTTCCGCCACGACCTTTCCCATGTCTACGTCCACGTCCACGTCTACGACCTCTTTGTTACGAGCCACGCCTTTCATCTTTCTCGTCGAAATAAAGTTTTGCTTACAATGCT